GGCCCGCCGCGCAGCTGCGCCGCCGCCGGGCACCACGGGGCTCGTAGTCCGGGCTAGGGCCCGGCCGGGGGAGCGCGGAGGAAGGAGAAGATAAGGCAGCAGAGGTGAGGGGGCGCGAGCGGCTGCGATGCCGGCCAGTTCCCAGAACTTGTGGCCGGTGCCATTGAGCGGTGAGGGGAGACGGGCGTAAGGGTAGACGGGCCTGCGGGAGCGGCCGCTGCTCCGGGGCTGAGTGGTCCCGCTCCCCGAGGCTCTGGCATGGCTGTCCTGGGGGGCTGCGCTGAGGCCGGGGAAGCCACGCCAGTAAGTTGGCCATGCCACGTGTTCCTCCCGCAGCCCTGTGCGGGGCTGAGGAAGCACAGGAGCAACTTGTTGCCTGGCTTGTAGTCAAGCCATGTAAAACTGAGCAAGATAGTGCAGGTGCAGTGTCATGGGCATATAACAACTGGACAATTTCTATTTTATTACTAATTGCTTGATATAACCGCACCACTTGGGCAAATTTACCAGATTTGAGTTTTGCGGCACTGCCTCTCATTTCAGTGTTGGGTCGAGGTTGTGCTGTACAGCTTGTATCTTCTTCACGCGTCTTCTTTTGGTCACTTTTGAGTGTGATTGTGGCTGAATTCGTTACCTTTAACTACAGGTGAACACCAGAGAGCACACAGAGTTCCAGATGTCGATCCTCAGAGAATCCATGTATGACTGAAACGATGGATAATCTGTTGGCTCAGCTCCAGCTTGGTGGAACCTGCTGGTTGTTTCAGGTTAATGTACAAAAAGGGTACTGCATTTATTCTGCCAGGTTTTCATTCAATTTGTATATTTATGGCAATGATCCTATTACCTTCTTTCTAATTGGTGTGGCTGTGTGTAGCAGATCATGCTTAAAAATCCACTCTTTTGAAGTAAGGAATTAGCCTATTTGTGCTGTGATTTTTTAAACAAGGTTAGGCTCTGGTCACAGAAATACACATACTCATTCCACCTTGAGTTCAATTACTTGCATGGGTATGCAGCATTTAAGTACCATGGTACGTCTATGTTCTGAGAAACAGCTGAGTGATAATACTTAATCAAATGTGACTCCAGGGGCTGCAGCCTTCCAGGTTAAAAAACTTCCTTTTGAAACGAGGTAGATTAATGTATTTTCTCGATTAAAGGCAAACTCCAGTTATAAGATATGCATTAAGCTTAAGTAAGATATGGATGGCTTTACAGTATTCTTACACATTATCATAGAATGGTTTTTGTTGGAAGGGACCTTAAAGGTCATCTGATTCCTGGAACATAGCACCATGGGCAGGGATGCCACCTGCTAGATTTGGTTGCTCAGGACCCCATTAAACCTGGCTTTGAAAGCTGTCAGGGGTGGGGTATCTGCAGGATCTCTGGGCAACTGTTGAAGTATCTGACCACCCTTACATGAACTATAAGTACTCTACGTGAATCAGAAGTACAAGTGTCATGACATGTGATGGTCCAGAATGAAATACTGATGCTGTAGACAAAGATGTGTCTTGATCTCTTTTTCCAGAACTATTTCCTGCCCTTTATAAATAAATTCAGTGCACAGAATGCAAATTCAGGTTATGGCATAGTTGCATCTCCCTCTACAGAGAAGGATATTGATTTGACTTGCTGTTTTCAAGTTCCACCTGAAGCCACAAAATATTGCAATCTTCAGCTCTTTGTTAAATGCTAAGTGATTTCTAAGTCTGCCCTGTGCCAGTGTTGGGAGCACAGGGTGAAGATTGTGTGTATTTCTATACCTGGCAGGAACAGGTCTGTATGGCAGGATGCTTAGGATGAGGGGGCATTATCCTGAATGGGGAGGGAGAGTCTTTAAAGGTCTGTGAGCCTTCCTGTATGGGAATGAACTGCTGAGGACACTCATCACTGTTGCATTGGGTGGCAACTGGAATTTTGTCAGAAGACGAAGGTTTGGAAGGCTCCATGATCAGTGTGCTCTTTTATTCAGCCCCCTTCACAGGGGCAGTCAATTTGATTGTTAAGATGTGCACTGGAATTTTTGGCATTACTGTTATCAGTGGTAATGATAAATTCTTTATTGGCTACCTATTTGTGTCCTGCCTCAACAATTGCACTTTGCTTGCAAGTGAGTGCTTGAATACTCGCTTCTCCTTTAGGGAAACAAATGCTTGGTATCTGTAGCAGATTGTGTGCTTGGAGTAACTTGCAGTTGAAGGAAAGATCAGCATGGAAAAGCAGGATCCTGAATCTGAACTCAGCTTGCTCTTGCCTTGCTGAGTGGTATTAGGTGAGTTACTTGACCCTTTAACTACTTATCACTCTGTAAACCATGAACCATAGGTTCTAAATACAACGATATTCATTAAGATTTTAAGAACATCTTTATTTGGACAATCCTGGTGCCATAAAGTGATAAGGTTTATATTTTGTGTAGTTGATCATCTTATGATTACCAATGTTTTTAACTGCTGTATTGTTTGCCATTTCTAACAGATGCAGACAAAAATATATTACTGATTTAGTTAAATCCTGTATCACACCCACATATTTTCAGTGCAGTAATGTTCCGACAACTGGACATAAAATAAATAAACCGACAAACCAACCTCAACAGAAAAGCAAACTGTCTAGCCAACTGGCAGTTAAGCTGACATGTTTTTTCTTCTGAAAGGCCGTATTCTTAGCTGGCCTCTACTATCTTGAGCATATGTGAGAAAAAAAAAAATATCATGGTGTAGTTGCTCGGCTAGGCTTTGGGACTGTGTTTTGCTGGTCATGTAATGACCAAAGTTCAGCTTGAAGGTTTAATGATACAACCAGTGAGTGAGAGGTGAGATTATGGTGTTGGTCTCCTCCTGTGTTTGTTTTGTTTCTCCACACACCAAAAGAGAATGTCACAGAATTCTTTGTGTGCTGAGAAGTGTCACAGCTGTTTTCTCTTGCCCAACCCCATTACTTTCAGTCTCCTCCCCTTTCTACCTGGACTCCAAACTGTGAAGAACTGCTTGCTTCTTTGTTGCTGTTGTATATTACAACTCCTTCCAAGTTTGTGAAAAACACTGGTTATTTTTTGCTTTCTTCTAGGGGTTGCTGCCCATATCCTCCTAATTTCATTTGAGAAGTTAGTATTCCCTGTAACCATCAGATAAAACCATCTGTAGTGGATGAAAATGACAGCTGCTTGTGTAGAAAGTCTGTGGTTACCTATTGCTAAATACTGTATCATAACACCAGAATATTTTACAATACACAGACTTTGGACAGGCAGTACAGAACCCATCCTCCATCATAATGATGCCAACAGCTGCAGATGTGCATTTACATAGGACAAAACCCAAGAATCTCTGTCAAAGAGCATCTATTTTTGCACTGTTCCTGCCACTGGTTCTTCAAAGGTGTGGGGTTTTTTTGTGTTTTATTGGTTTGTTTGTTTGTTTTTGTTTTAATAGCTTGGTTTGTTTGTTTGTTTGTTTTCGTTTTAATAGCTGCCACCAATGAAGGAGCTAGATAGGAAGGCTATAGCCAAACGTGACTCAGATGATAACAGGACTAAAAAGAGAGAAGACAAACAACATCTGTAATATTTGCTGGCTCTCCACTCATTAGTAAAACTTATGTAAAAGAAAGTTGGTTATCAATTAGTCATCAGAGAATTTACATATCATTAGAAACACAGGGGAGTGCTAGATACAACTGCACTGAAATAAAAAGGGGAATTAGGTTCATATATATATACCAAACATCAAGCAGATCTATGTAACATTATGACTCCCACCCACCTTTACCACTTTACTGAAGTGCATCCTGCATTCCATTAACTGCTGGAGAGAGTCCAGAGGAGGCAACCAAGATGATTAGAGAGATGGAGCAACTCTCCTGCAAGGTAGGGCTGAGAGAATTGTGTTTGTTCAGCCTGGACAATGGATGGCTTGGGGGTCATCTAATTATGGCTTTCCAGTACCTGAAGAGAGGCTACAAGAGGGATGGAGATGGACTTTTTACTAAGGCATATAGTGACAGGACAAGGGGGAATGGATTCAGATGGAAAGAGAGTAAATTTAGAGTAGATATTGTGAAAAAGATGTTTACTGTGGGTGTGTTGAGGCCCTGCACAGGTTGCCCTGAGTGGCTGCCCCATCCCTGGAGGTGTTCAAGGCCAGGCTGAACTGGGCTCTGAGCATCCTGGTGTAGTGGAAGATGTCTCTGCCCATGGCAGGGCAATTGGAACTAGGTGTAGATGATCTTTAAGGTCACTACCTATCCAGGCCGTTCTATGAACTATGTAATTCACCCCTTGCTGCACTCATTGTGTGTTGTAGCTCCTCAGTTAAATGCACTATTTCTATATAAAGCAAATCATTAATGAGTTTTATTGAGTTTGCTACAGAACAGCCTAGAGCTGGAGTTGCAGTGATTCAGAGTAGGAAAGACTGTGCAGAATATAACTCCCTGTGCATGAATTTGCAGGCATAATGAGCCTTATTCTGATCATCTGAGTTCACCTCCATTGACTTCATGCTTTCCACTGATGCAAATCAGATCTGTGCTGATGTCTCTGGTGCTGCCCAGATTAGACTGTGGTGATGGCTGCTATGAGTTAGCCATGGCTGCACGCCTTCTGAACTCGCTCACTCTATAGGGCCAGCCCTGGGTGTGAGGAGGAGAGAAGCTGCTCCCTTGCAGGGAAAGCCCTGTGTCTCTGTGCATGCCTGGTCTCTCATTATCACCAACCTCAGTGCTGTATTTACTTTTACCTGCTGTGTGATAGGTGCAGTAAAAGAGCACTTTTGCCCTAGGATAGAGTGTGATTCCACTCTCAGAGCCTGAGAGTTGGCAGTATGTAGCAGCGGGTTGCTCACTAACTGGGGTCCCAGAGGCTGCGAGCTGAGGGTCTGCCACTGCTATCCTAAGTAGTGGTCACACACCAACTCTGGAACAACCTTGTTAGCAAGGTCTAAAGTAATCCTGTTTCAATGACTGCTGTGCCACTGACTCACACTTGCTCACTCAGCCTTCCCTCACTGACAAAAATGCTTCAGCACAGAGTATCTTGACACTAAGCTTTTCTTTCTCACAATCACGAGTGAGGACTGGGTATGGTTGTCACGCAGGTAAGGCCATAGTAATTTGATTGCCTTTGGTTATGCATGTAACACATTATTTTAAGAATTATTTTTCAGCAAGAGAGAGAACTGCTTAATTTCTTAATGATTTGGGATCAAGTTTATCCCAGTGGAGATCTATATAGGTGTAATTAACAATGATAAATTTAAGAAGGAAAGAACAGCCAAAGAATATTTTTAAATTTTAAATTTTTTAATTTTTTTTTTTTTTTTTGTGGAAAGACTTAATTTTCAGCAGCGAAAGAGGTTAATGTTAAAACTTAGTGGGATGGAAATTTCTTTCAGTGTTTTCAGATGTTTGTAAGGTTTAGGTTAATTGTTCAATCCAATAAAATCATTCTCTGTCCTATGGGTAAATGGTCTGTGTTAGGCTCCATGCCTCTGTGAGGAGGAAGGAAATTTTATTAAAGTGTTGAAACAAGCAAGGTGGACTGAGGAAAGCAGAAGAAAAAGGCCAAAACTCACAGAACAGTTACAGCCATCCTTGCATAGCACTGATATCCCTTTGAGAGAGCAACCAGCGTCTGACTAATTCCAAATCAAAGGACAACAATTAGAAATCATTGGCAATTATTAGAGAAAAATGTCAAGGCAAAAGAGAAGGGAGAGGTGCTTGTATGGGTGAAATGCTAGTGAATGAGGTCTGGAGGATGTTCCAGAGAAGCAG